TTTTGTTGTATTTTACTTTTTTAAACATATTTTAGGTACGAAAAAGAGGCAGATATTATAAGATTTATTCTTCTTCTGCTGTCTTTCATTTTATTTGATTTTATTGAAATTGCACGTTTTTTGCACTTTGTTTACTTGTGTTACAAATGAAATGAATAAAGTGAAGTAAATGAAAAATAAAAATAGCCTGTAATTCTCCTCCGTGTCGGTAGGTGGCAGTGCGGCGGTAATGAGCGACCTGTCAGTCAATGCGGTGGGCGGAGCTTCGGCTTGTCGTACGTGTGCTTCTCTGCGGCGAGCTAAACGCTACAGCAGAGTTTGTGACGAAATCATGGTGTTACTCGAAAACGATGCGGTAAGTATGTGAACTGAGACACCTTAAAATCTGTTTTCCATTGACAAGGATTATTAGTTAAACGTCAGGGTTGTTTATGTCATTTGTTTGTAGTTACGCCGTAGAAGAGCTACCCTAACTAGCTAGCTTGCTAACGATTGATTCAGCTAATTGGGGTAATACTTCAGATTGATACTTTCAGACTTCAAATTGGCTTTTCTAACGATGTACAAACGCTTAGCTAATGCTAATTTAATATGTTTTCTCATTTTATAATATAAATTTAAACGTCTGTCAGCACTAAATAAGGGATTGATTAGTCTCAACTAAACCTGAGTTTTTTGTTCCTTTTTTTGTTTGTTTTACAAATCGCCCACACCTCAGTTGGCCGCACATAGTTGGTTTTAAAAGTTTATTATATTTTACCGTGTTGTTTTTCTTCTTTTTCACGCTTGTGTGTGTGTGTGTGTGTGTGTGTGTCATTTTGAAACAATCACGTTTTTAAAATTAGTCAAGTTTGCTTAGTATGAAAAAAAAATCACACTTTGTACAAATCACTTTGAAATAATTAGATTTTAGCATTATAAAAGTGTTAATTCACCTTTAAATGACATGTTTTAACTAAATTAAGCTGCAATCTGAACATATGGATGGAAAACTTTACATCTCTCACTAGGATTAACTGCTATTTGTCTTTAATTTATCAGGAAAAACAGTGTCCTGACAAATTGGCAACAAACTTTCATAAAACAAATATTAAAATAAGCCATAAAACCTATTTCTTTAAATAGGATGCCTCTTTACATACCCCCACTAAAAATAAATCAAAGAAAACACTCTATTTCCCCATATTTCCTCAAATAGCGTTAAATATGTTCAGTGAAATCAGCTCCTTCATTTGTAGACCAGGCTGAAGTTGATTCCAGGTCAATAGAGCAGAAAACTGAGAACTTTAGGTAAATACAACAAGTAGTAGGCGTGGGAACAAAGTGAATATTTTTGTGATTTATGTGGATGAGAAGATAGGGACGGTGCAGACCCAGTACTGCCTTATATACAAGTATATAAACGTARCACAAAAAATAAGGAAATGTGTGTTAGAGTATTTCCATTTTTAAATGGCGCCACATTTGTAAGGAACATGCATCTGTGGGATGAGCAGTAGAGCTGAGTATGTGGGTTGTGCACATGAAAACTTTGCTAAATCTTTTGTGCCAAACAGTTTATGTTGTTGTTGCGATTGACTGTTGTTTTGAGCTTTTGGTACCAGGTGCTGCTAATCATTTATAAGATTTATTACCAAGAAGCATTGTCACAACAAAGAGCTAATCTACCGAACACAAAATTACTTACTTTTAGTCCTAAGTAGTATAGCTTTAAACACTTATGTTGGCCTTTGTTTTTTTTTTTATTTTATTTTAGTAGCCACAATAAAGATGTGTCCTAAAAGGTTGTTAAAATGTAAATCTGTTGCTCTATGAATCTCCTCTGAGGTTTGTGGCTGTAAAATGTGGTCATTGAAGGGATCATAACCTGTTCTCCCTTTTGTCCAGTTCCTCACAGAGCTCACTCGACTCTTCCAGAAGTGCAGAACGTCGGGCAGTGTTGTCGTCACACTAAAGAAGTGTGAGTAGTGTGACTTAAATCGCTCAGCAGCGCTGCTGTAATCTCTCTGATCTATTGGCAGTTATGAGTTTTTTTTAAATTGTATTATTTTAATCCCCCCTAGATGATGGTAGAACTAAACCAGTACCCAGAAAGGGCCACTCGGAGTCCTTTGAACCTGCTGATAACAAATGTCTCGTCAGAGCTTCTGATGGCAAGAAGAAAATTAGCACAGTGGTACGCCTATTGATCTGTGATTATTTTAATGTTCACTTTTTTAACACCAGGTGTTAATGCCACACTCTGTTTTCCTGTTTAAGGTCAGCACCAAAGAAGTAATCAAGTTTCAAATGGTATGTCAGGATAATCTGTTTTTTATTTTACAGCTACAGTTTGTCTTCTTGTTTTCATTTATCTGCACGTCTTTAATGAGTTAAAACTTTTGTTGTTGTAATCTCTTCTCTGCAGGCGTATTCCAACCTCCTTAGAGCTCACATTGATGGCCTAAAGAAAAAAGATAAGAAGAGCAAAAGCAAGAAGACCAAAGCCACACAATGAGCTATAGACTCTCTCTGATAACCATGGAAGCTGCCCGGTACAATCTGAGGGGACGGAGGGGGGCTACCTTCTGACCTGCAGCTCTCCCCTCGTTCATCTGCAGCCTCAGAGTCATCCACCTGGTCACCGTGTTGATGTTTCATCCCTGGCTGCTCAGTGCCATCAGGTGATTAGGAGCTGAAAACCTGAAGGTTTATTTTATTGTTTTTTCTTTTTGTACAGTAACGAATCAAACTGACTTCATCGAATCTCCAGCATTTTATGTTCAGAGAGGCTGAGCTGTGTGTGGAGCCGAGTCAGAGTCCAGAACCTTTAATTCTGTTTTAGTCCGTTTGTGTTGTCACGTTGGCTTCTTTAAAAAGATTGGGTTTTTTTTTTTGTTTAAAATCAATGTTTGACTTTAAATAATATAAAAGATATTTTTTGTTCTTTAACAAGTTTGCCTCCTTTTTTTTATGCCCAGACTAAGAAGTCTTAAACACCAACCAAAGTTAAAAAAAAGGTGATTATTCTAATGCAGAAATGTTAAGAGGTTGGAGATAACTCTTAAAGAAATGTCTGAATGCAGAGACTAAGTTTTCTGTAATAAAAAAAAGTCATTTTTGTTCCTTAAAAAAATTACTTGATGTAAACCCWGCCAGTGTTTGTAAGGTTTCTTTGTGCTCCTCAGTCCTGGCATCGTTTTAGAGGACTGCAGCGGGATTTAGGTTGAGAAATAAAGTGCTTTGTTAAAACTCACTGCATGATTCTAGTCCATTCTAAAACAAACTACATACCGCATAGAGGTAACATTATGACCCCCACACGCACAAATGCAACAGAACTCAGAAGTCTTTATTCCTAATAAATGTCATGCTACCAGGTGCATCCCAAAATTWTAGTGGTTTGAGTGGGGGTGGGTTTGTTGACCTGATCAGAACTAAACAACTAAAGAAAATCTGAAGCTCCTATGTTTAATAGTTTTTAAGCTATAACCATTTTTGTATGTCCAGATACCCCTTTTTCAGATAAATTGGGGGGTGGGGGCACTGATTGGTGGGCCTGATAGACAGTGGTGGACAGTAATGCAGTACATTTACTTGAGTACTGAACTTAAGTACATATTTTGAGTAACTTTCTTGAGTAATTATTTTTTGGGGAACTTAAGACTTTCACTCCACTACATTTCAAAGACAAATATTGTACTTTTGACTCGACTACATTTCTTAGAAGCTTGTTACTCGTTACTTTAGGCTCAGCATAGCTTTGTTGCTGGTTTTTTCTTGAAGTAATTGGCTACATGTTGTGTTCCTCACAAGGGAAACCAATCACAGTCGTAGCTCACACCTGGGATAGATTTGGAGTTATGTCACCCGGTGGCGAGCTGAGCTCCCACCTTCATTTCAAACAGAACCCAGCAATGGAGACGGCTGTAGAAACTCAAGTGGAGAAACCAGAGCAGCATGGCCACGTCTCAGCTCGATGTTTGAGATTTTAGGACTGAAAAATAATTTGTATCAGTTTAAACGTCTTTTATGTTCACCACGGATAAACTATGTTTCTGCATTTAAGATCTCACCACTCATTTTATTTTATTTTTATGCTGAAGTCTTTACAGGTGGTGTAGAATTTTTAGCAGAGTGGTTCTATGTGTCGATACATCAGATGGTTTCTGAGAGTTAGAAGTTTCTGTAAAATCACTCTGAAAACAGTACAGCATTGTACTGATATTAGACTTTTAAATTTGTACTTTTGAATACTTGAATGCATGCACTTTTAATACTTAAGTATTTTCAAAAGTAAGTACTTCAGTACTTTAACTTAAGTAAATTTCAACCAAACAACTTTTACTTGTAGTTGAGTAAGATTTGAACATGAGTATCAGTACTTTTACTCAAGTACTAGAGTTGAGTACTTTGTCCACCACTGCTGGCTTCCCTTCATTTAAAGGCTGACATTAGCATGCTAATG